GGAGGCGGAGGCGGAGGCGGAGGCAGAGGAGGGGGAGGAGGCAGCCGGGAGCGCGGGGCGGAGGTGGCGGAAGGGATCGTGCGGACACCCCGCTACCGGGACCCTCTCCGGGCCGCGCGCCACAGCTCGCGGGGAGCCCGCCCTGGGGGCGCCGGCGAGGCCCCTTGTCGCTCCCTCCATGCGGGCCTCGGGCCCGCGTGGCCAATCAAGGGGTGCAGGCCGACTTGGCGGGGATTGCGAATCTCGGCGGCTGCGGCGGGCGGAGGCAGGAAGAGGCGGCGGGAACGGGTGCCCGAGAGGCCGGCTGCTCCGAGGCCGCCCTCGCTGGCTCCGGGCCTCGCTGGCTTCCTCCAGCGCCCTTCTGGTCGTCCGGGGACGCGGGGAGCTGTGCGCGCTCCTGGCGCGGCGGGTCCCGGCCCCGGCTGCCCAGCGCCCCCTCCCTGCTCCTGCCCTGGCCGCGCTCCCTGCCCGGGGCCCCCACGTTTCCTGCCTGCTCCACTGAGGCCCACCGGGCTGGGAGGCTCCGCCAGGAGTGCATTGTCTGCGCCGCGCCGGCGGGACGAAGGTCCCCGGGGAGCACAGGCTTCGTAGGCACCCCTCGGCGCAGGGCACCTGGTAACCATCCGGGCACCCTCACCTCCTGCACCCAGGCTGCCTTCCGGTGCTAAGTCCCCAGGGTGTGCACGTTGGTGAAGAGATAACAGACACATCGACGCACACATCCCTTCTCCGAACTTTGATTTCTATTTCCACTGTGGGCACCCGTTCAAGGGGGCCGCTGGAGAGCCTAAGCCCCAGGGAGAGTCATCGCGCGGGCTCAGGGGCCCTCCTCTGCCCTTTCTCCTCGAAGGCCGGCCTCTCCAGGTCAGGCCTGCTGCTTCCTCCCAATCCCAGCCCCTGGGGTGCGTGTCCAGCCGCCTAGCTGCACAGGGAGGTGGATGAGGAGGAGGATGAGAGCAGCTCTGACTCTGGAGCCGAAAGTCCCAAGGCCGTTGGCCTTTCCCAACTCCCCTGATGACCTCTGGCTACAGCCCAGTTCTACTCTGAAAAGTTCATTTCCTGGAGGCCTGCGAGGGAAGGCGCTTGGGCCCCTCTCCCTTCCTGCCAGCCTTGTTCCCGGCTGGAGTAGCTGGGATTGAATCTGGCACAATAGGTCTCCAGACACCTGCCATCTCCGTCCTTCCAAAGTCCCAAGAGAGGCAGGGGCACCTGGCCCACAGAAGCTTCTCCTGTCATCTTGAAAGGAAACCAACTCAGGCCAAACTCTCAGCGCCAGCCTGCTTCTCCTTTTATCCCATGAGTGAAGTTGGTCGTGCTCCTTGAACCCTGACTGGTATCCCAATCCGAGGTAGCCCGG